CCCGCTCGTTCACCGGCCGCCCTGCGCGGGGCGGGGCCGCGGGGCGGAGCGCGGCTCCTCCTTAAAGGCGCAGCGCCCCCCGCCTTGCCGGGGCGCGGCGCTGAGCTGCCTGCTCGGTCCGGCCGGGGCAGGTTGAAGTCACTTGTCTCCGAACCTGCCCGCCGGCTGGTGCGGTGGGTACCCTAAACCGCAGGTTTTCCTACCAGCCTGCGAGGGAACCCCGCAGTGCGGGGCCGGTTCTCTGCCTGCACCGAGGGCGTCCCGCCTGGGGGGCCCTGCGGCGCTGCCCCCAGCCTGGCGGCAGGTGGAGCACGGTTTCGCTGGCCTGTGCTCGAAGGTCTTTTCTTTCAGCTTAGCCCAAAGCAAAACGGAAGCGAGATCTTCAAAGCTAGTGGGAGATGTGGCCCGTGTTACCTCGATTTCGCCGCTTGTCAATGGATGCGGGATAGCTCAGTTCAACACCTCAGGCTGATTTGGTATTAAGCCACCCTAGGCAGTTTGGCCTCTTTGTCTTTTTTTCTGGTTGTTTCTTACCCTGTTAATACTTTCGTTTTCCAAGTCAGGGCTCGTGTTTGTATCATAGAGTTGTCTTTAAAAAGGCCTTTAATGCTCTAAAAAAAGTACTACTTTAAAAAAAAAATAATCAACAACAACAAAAAACCCAAACCCGCACAGAACTGTTGGTGTTAGTAGTGCTGTGAATGTTTATGCAGCTTCATAGTAAAAAGGCAACCAATCTCCCTGAAAAAGTACTGCTCCAATAGCTGTGCTAGTAGAAAGAGGGTTGACATCAACTAACAAAAGGAAGGGTTGTGGTAGCAAAACTGTCATTCGATATGCAAGTGTTCATTAAGAAGTAACTTATACTGCAATTATCCTTTTTTTAAAAAAAAAAAAAAATTAATCTGATTGACATTAAACTCTTAGATCTACAGAATCAGGTCAATAATTAGGCCAACGTGTAAGATTTGTCAGTTATAGGACAGTTCCAAATCAATTAGGTTTAACCATGAAATGCACGTTTAAGACAATAATTTTAAAGGTGCTGAAAAAAGCAGGATTATCACAAGTGCATAAGAATGTTTCCATGAAAATCTGCTAGCCACTTCTTACACTGATTCTGCAGGCTGGTTAATTGCCTTTACAGCTTCAGAACATAAGTGTTTTTAAAAAATAAGTGTTGGGACAGGACACATTGACTTTAACTGGGACCTAACTAAAGCTACAATTTTATCTCACTGTTGTTGGTTTGGGTTTTTTTTCTGCACAGCTCACTCACCCATACCTTTGTGTTACCTCCCATGATTTAATTATCACAAAATAAAACATAGCCTTAAAAAAAGTTGGTAATGATAAGACTTAAATGTCCCACATTCTACCACGTTGCAGGAACAGTGAGTTAACTAGTTAAACCCAAATTAATTTTCCCTCTCCACCACTATTGAAGTCTTCCAGCTGTTTCTCAACTGTTTTTCCAATTATCATCTTTCTCCTAGGGTTTATCAGCTGTGAATGATGCCTCTCAGCAGGGAGACAGTCAAGCTACATTTAGATCCCATCCCTCCTGGAAGCAGGTTTAGTATCAAACTGTGTGTGATCTTAAGTTATTCCATGTTCTCCTTTCTTTTTCTCTTGAATGAGAGAAGCTACCCCCTGTGCTGCTATAATTGTGTATTATGGTATCTCAGTATTTCTGGTACCTTATGTTCTCAGGTTCAGATGTGTTCTGGAAGCTCCTTAAAATCCAGTGGGCAGAAGCACGTTATTTTATTTACAAGCTGAGCTAAATGACAGTTCCCAGTTGTACTGAATCTTTTTCCTTTTGCCTTCTCCACAGCTGCTACACTTCCAGCAGCTCAGTATCCTTTACTCATCTTGGAGTGCTAGAAATAAACTGGAATCTGTATGTCCTCACAAAATTCCTGAATTATAAAGTGCCAGGTGATAGGCATAAAGCAAAGGAACAACTGTAATTACCAAGAGAAAGAGGGTGGCATCTCTCTTTCCACAAATTGTTGGAAGAGTCTCTCAAATTGTAGGGCTTTACAAAGTTAATCTATTCCTTGCTGTTTCTCCTTACATGAGTGTTTTGAAGACTCCCAAACGCTTGTAGGAAGCGAAGTATTCCCTTGCCACAGACATATAATTAACTGTAACAACTGTAGTTATAAAGCTGGCAGGCAATAGTTTTTATGCTGATTATTTTTTCTTATTAGCATTAGCATTTTTAGAATGATTTTAAGATTACTGTAACTCCTAATAGTTTAATACAATTATGAGTTGGCATTGTCTTTTTAAGGTTGAGAATAACTGTTCTGCAATATACAAACTCTACTGTATTGAGTTGTTGTGCACTGTGATGACAATGATAAATGATACATCAGAAAATATCTTCTAAGCGTCATGCCTTGGTAGGCTGCTTTTTCAGCAGCTGTGAAGTTTTTTTTCTCAGGGAGTGAGATAAGGTAGTATATGTCCAAACAGAAATCATATACAGGGGAACACTTTAAGATTGTAACTCAAGGTTCGTGCTGGCTGCATGGTCCCTGTAGGAAAGGACCCAGTAAAATTACGTGTAGAATTCAAGGACACATAGCCAAACGTGGTACCCTTTGTGCATGTATGTGGCAATGCACACGCCAATTCCACTGATCACATATGGTTTCATAATAATTGAGGTAACACAATGCATGTGCGCAAGGGGCAAGTGTAATATACTAGCCCACCTAAAATTCTCTCATATCTAAAATGAGGATTTTTAGCTTAATGTTAATCCCACTTTAAAATAAAACTGAGAACCCCAACTTCAATTACTTGGGATCATACTGAGGGCAGTTGTGTTAGCAGCAGAGCTGCCCAGACCTCCTGAGAAACCTTTGCTCTTGGGCTGTTGGCAGATGGGGGACACAAGCAGGTAGTGGTGCACCATGGGTGCTAGAGGGGAGTGTGAGATATGCTTTGCCAGCATGGTGTTGGTTATTCATCCACCTACACGCAGGAGAAGAATGTAGTCTCAGGGCACAAAGATTTAATTATAGGCTGTCTCACAGTTGTAGAACCATTATACCTTATGCCCCCGGCATCTTTCCAACCTCTGATCCTACCTTTTTTTCTGCTACATCAAAAAGGTTATGAAAATAAGTATTAAGATTGTAAAATAACTTGTGGAGTACTGTTGGGTTTTTTTGGTTTTGTTGAAGTTTTCATATCAAAATCCCATTAAATTCTGTTTGCCAATAGCAGCAAGAAAAGGGAAAAGAATATCACATAGGTACATATAGATTTGAAATGCAAGGATATTTGGAATGTGTATGACATTACTTTTAGTCTAAGAAACATCCCAGGGTCCTGAGGAAATTGGCAGGTGTAGTTGCTAAGCTGTTCTTCATCGTATTTGAAGAGTCATGGCAATCAGATGAAATCCCCAGTGGCTGGAGAAAAGGGAACATCACAGCCAGACCCTGGGAACTACTGACCAGTCAGTCTCACTTCTGTGACCAGTAAGATCATGGAACAGATCCTCCAGGAAGTTATGCTGAAGCATATGGAAGATGAGGAGGTGATTGGAGACAGCCAACATGGCTTCACCAAGGGCAAATCATGCCTGACTAATCGAGTGGCTTTTATGATGGAGTGACTGCATCAGTGGTCAAGGGAAGAAAAACTGATGTCATCTACCTGAACTTCTATAAGGCATTTAATACGGTCCCCCACAACATTCTTGCCTCTAAATTGGAGTGATGTGGATTTGATGGACGGACTATTGGATGGATAAGGAATTGGCTGTATGGCTGCATTCAAAGAATTACAGTCAATACCTCAGTGTCCAAATGGAATCCAGTAATGAGTGATGTCCCTCAAGGCTCTGTTTTGGGACCAGTACTTTTTAATATCTTCATTAATGGCATAGTGGGATTGAATAGACCTTTAGCAAGTTTGCTGATGACACCAAGCTGTGTGGTGCGGTTGACATGCTAGAGGTAAGGGATGACATTCAGGGGACCTTGAAAGGCTTGAGGAGTGGGCCTATGCAAACCTCATGAAGTTCAGCAGGGCCAAGTGCAAGGTCCTGCACGTGGGTCAAGGCAACCCCCAGTACCAATATAGATTGGGGCTGAATGAACTGAGAGCCACCCTGTGGAGGACTAGGGAATACTTGTAGATTAAAAATTGGACATGAGGCAGCGGTGTGTGCTTGCAGCCCAGAGTGCCAACCGTATCCTGGGCTCCATCAAAAGTAATGTGGCCAGACGGTTGATGGAGGTGATTCTCCCCCTCTACTCTGCTCTCATGAGACCCCACCAGGAGTACTGCATTCCACTGTGGGGTCCCCAGCATAAGAACGAGATGGTCCTGGTAGAACCGGTCCAGAGAAGGGCCACGAAGATGATCAGAGGGCTGTTGTAGCTGATAGATATTTGAGATTTTTCCTTGTTCAGTGTATAGATTGTATTTGTACTGAAGGATAAATATGAGAATTTAAAGTGCCTGAAGGTAAAGATGTGTTAAGGGGAACTGCATGATTTAAAACCAGCACTTTAAACCAAATAACCATCTGGATTAGAAACTGAGAGTGACAATTATTCTGCCAAAGAATTTGTTTTAAAGTCATTAGAATTTGTATAAGAGTGGATGTGTTATCCAAGGGGTTTTTCTCTTTGTTCCTTTTAATTAGATGCTTTGATATAGAAGATATGTATCTTTCTAATGACTACAGGGATTAAGTTCCTTAATGTTTCTACCTAAGTACCCAAACAGGACAGTAAATTACTGACATAGTAATGTGCAGCTGAAGCACATGCTGAGCTGTGTGTAAACCTCTCTTAGTGTTATGTCAGATTGTGATCAGTGTCAGATTGTAACTCATACTCCCTATAACATATGTCTATTATTTGAATCTGAGAATGTTTGCAGCCACTGATTGATTGATTTGACTATAGAATT